GGTCAAGGGCTACCTGATTATAACCTAAATAGCCATCAAGGAAGTAATAATATTATTGCCCCGCCAATTTCTCTAGAATTTGATCAATGAATGGCAAAGGGAAATGATCTTTTCTAGTGGCGGCATTTAATTTGCGAAAATCAATGCATACACGCCACGAATTGGCGGTACGCTTGGAGATTTCCTCACCTTTTGCATTTTCAATCACTGTAATCCCTGATTTTTTGGGAACTACTTCAGTTGGACTCACCCATTTGCTACCAGAGATTGGGTAAATGATTCCGGCATCTAAAAGTTTGACAACTTCTTTCTTGACTACCTCCTTTATGTTTGGATTAAGTCTTCTTTGAGCATCCCTAAAAGGTTTTGCATCCTCTTCCATAAGTATGCGATGCATGCAAATAGAAGGATCAATTCCTTTTAGAACTGCCACACTCCATCTTATGGTTTCCTTATTTTCTTTAAGCACATCTTCTTGATCTTTTCAAGATTAGAGGAAATGATGACCGGAAGAGTCTCTTTCGGGCCAAGAAAGACATACTTAAGATTGGAAGGTAGAGCTTTAAGCTTAAGAGTTGGTGGAGAGACTAAAGATAGGACTGGTGGAGTGCTAGAGAGTGGAGGGAGAGGTTCTATTAGAGTTTTCCAAGGTGGAAAATCCAAGCTTGCAACTGATTGCATGAGATTGCTTACTTCATTCATCGATTTTTCATCATCAAACCCATAATTACCATACATTTCAAGAAGACAAGATGCAAAAGGATCCTCGGAGAGGAAAGATAAGAGATTTTCCTCGGTTGGTTGTTTCATTACCATGGTGGGAATAGATTCCTCAACAACCTCATCCAACATATCTATAAGACAACATTCGTCATCATCTATGGGATGTCGGCTTGCATTGAAAACATTAAGCTTGACTATCATATTTCCAAAAGAAAGGTCCATAACCCCAGATCTACAATTAATGGTTGCATTTGCGGTAGCAAGAAATGGCCTTCCGAAGATGATCGGGATGTGGTTAGTAGGATTGGCAACCGGTTCGGTATTAAGAACTACAAAATCAATCGGGAAGTAGAACTTATCAACTTTGATGAGTATATCCTCAACCATGCCCCTAGGTGTTTTGACAGATCTATCAGCCAATTAAAGCACCACCGAGGTTAGCTTCAACTCATTCAAGCCTAGTTGGGCATACACGGAGTAAGGAATCAAATTAACACTCAGCCCTAAAGTCAAGAAGAGCTCTATGAACTTCATGGGTTCCAATTACAAATGAAATGGTCGGAGCATCGGGATCTTTGAATATAGGTAGAGTGTTATGTTGAATGATGGAGCTTACTTGCTCCGTTAGGAACACTTTTTTAGGGCCTTGTCCCTTACTCTTCCTCTTTTGTGTGCAAAGATCTTTCAAGAATTTTAAATAAGTCAGAATTTGCCTAATTGCATCCAAGAGAGGAAGATTTATGTTGACTTATTTGAAGACTTCCATCATGTCATGGATTTTTCCTTCTTGCCTCCCAAAAGGCGAAGTTTCTTTTAAAACATAAAGAAATGGAGCTCTTAGCACATAAGACCTTGTAACTTGAGGAGATGATGAAGAGGGTTGTGAGTTCTTAATGGTGACATTTTCATCCAAGGAAATAGGAATATGATTAGAAATGGGACAGGTGTCAATTTTTGGTTGCATCGGTTCACTATCTTCACTTGGTTATTCAACCCTATTGTCAACTTGCCTACCACTTCTCAAAGTGGTGATTGCTTGCACTTATTCTTGGGAGGAACACCCCGATATGGAGTTTACTTCCACATAATATTGGGCTTTTGGGTTCCTTTCGGGTTTACTAGGAAATTTACCCATCTCTCTCGCATTTAATGCATTAGTTATCATCCTTATTTGGGATTCAAGCTTTGATATCGATTGAGAATGCAAATGCAACAAATTGGTGTTCATTTCCAAACTACCCAAAGCTACTAAGACCTTATCTTCAAATGTGGGGTTGCTAGAGAGTGCATAAGGATGATTAGAGCAACTTTGAGAATTATAAGCTTGAGGATGAGAAAAATGATTCATTCTTTGATGAAAAGTAGAAGATGAGACAAATCCCTTTGAACCTTTATTTCTTTAATGAGGAGGAATATATCAGTTTTAAAAAATTTTAGCTTGAAAAGGACTTGAATATTCATTCCACACCGGTACATAAGCATTTTGAAGAGAATGAGCAAATGTGGCATTGACTTGTTCATAGTGTTCATTAAGCACATATCCATGAGAACAATTGGAAGTAGCATGCAATACACTTGAACAAGTCATGCATGGCTCACAAGAATGATGAATATGATTAAGAAGAGGAGATGATGGGGTTGCCGGTTTTTGACTTAATAGAAATTGATCAAGTTTTAAGTGAGAGTTTTAACCTCGGCAACAATCTCCATTGGACTCTCAATTTGACACACTTTCAAATTTTTCATTTTGTTATTAGAATCATGACTCAACCGAAAAGTGTGACACTTATGCAAAGCATTTTCACTCATTTTTTCATCATCTTCATGTTTCCCAAAATATGATCCTCCACATGAGGTATCAACTATGTCCTTATGAATGTGCGATAGACTTTAATAGAAATATTGAACTACTTGCCATTTAGGAATGCCATAGTGTGGATATTTCCTTAGCAAGTCGTTCAATTTTTCTCAAGCCTCATGTAAAAGTTCTCCTTTCCTTTGAGAAAATTCACGAATAGAAGTTCTCATAACATTGGTCAAACTCACGGGGTAAAATTTCTTTAAAAATTCATTTTGCATTTGTACCCAAGAAGTTATTGAATTTGTCCCTAAGTCGTTGAACCAATGCTTAGTCTTATTTTTAAGAATGAAAGGGAAAAGGAGTAACTTAAGAACTTCTTCCGGGACATTCATGTACCTCACGGTAGAGCATATTTCAAGAAATTCATTAAGATGTTTATATGGTTCCTCACCATCTAAGCCATAAAAGAGTGGACACATTTGAATCATCTCGGGCTTAATCCCATATTGATCGGCTCCAAAATTAGGAAGCACAATACAAGTTGGTGCGTGGTATTCATGAAGATTATAATGATCACGAAGGATCATTGGAGGAATTGGAGCTTGAACTCCGGGGGGAAATTGGTTGAAAGGCGTGTGTTCCATGAAATTCGGGTCTAAATAACCAAGATGACCCTCTAGATTTTCCATTAGGATGGTGAAGGGTGGGTAGGATCACTTCAATAAGATCAACAAAACAAGCACTTCGCCCCCGCAACAAATCAATCAACAAGTCTCCACATACAATGATCCCATACTCCCATGCTTGAACAACATGTAAAGAAAAGTAAATTGTTTTTATTTGAAATGAACAAATGTCATTTACTGCTTGATATTAATTTTTCTTAAACAAAAAAGTTAAACACTTTAAAATGTGTTCATATTATTTTCAAGATTACCAGATAGGCTTGTATTAAGAATATTTGTAAGTGTTGGCCTAAGTGTCCAAAGTAATAATTTTTTTTAATTTTTTATTTGTTTACAGACATGTGTACGAGGAGTGACTGACAAGTGTCAATGTTCGACACGGACACGACACAGGTACAACTCCTTTGTAGGAGTGTTCGTGCTTCATAGATTAACGGTTTAGTAACATCTGGCCCTCCTTTGCACCTAAATTGAATGTTATGGAGTTTTGAGAACATATAGGAGGTTGTACACTCTATATGCATACTATATCTAGGGGTATTTTTTGCTTGCGACCCTGTAATTTATACTTTACAAACCAAAGTGACCAAAGAGTTTGAGAAGAGGCAATGTCTGAAGCTGATGATGGGAAAGAATGTTTAATAAGAGTTAATACTTTTTAAAGTTAAATTACGAATTTTTCCCCCCTAAATCACATTTCTTTTCCTTTTCTCAATCGATACTATTGTAGATTTAAATTACGAATTTAATTTCCCCCCTAAATCTCATGTCTATTGATAAATTACACTAACATTTTCTGTTAAATGCCTAAATAATAAGAAACTCTCATATAGTTTCAAAAATAACACTATGCTGATAACCTCTCTTGTATTTATGGTAAGAGTCACACTAACCTCATCTCTCGTAAAATCTGTTAGTATTGTTTAAATCATTTAATATTATTTGTTGATGCCATTCTTGAAATTTACTTAAAATCCACTTTGTGCCTTGAAGCTTGAAAAGAAATGCTTTTGTCCATGTGTTGTAATGATAAATGATAATAAAAATACAATTGGTATAATTGCCATTTCACACATTTAGAAAGGGGGGATTATTGTTATTTTTCAAACTATATAGATGTGCCTGTTTTTTAAGCATTTAACAAGAAAGGTATTAGTAATCAACCCTAAAACATAAAATAAATAAAAAATAATAGAAAAGAAAAAAAAAATTGAAAAGTAAATGACAATGTGACAAAAATGAAAAGTTGTTTGTTGTATTCATTTTGCATAAGAATATATTTATTGACAAGTTCAGAAATAAAAAATAAAATTAGATGATAATTTGAGCCCGTAAAAAGTCGATCAGTAGCAATTTATTCGGCTTGTAATACAGGAATCCGCTAAACAAAACATTGATTTACCAAAGGTGACGTTTTGTATTCACCTTTCCTAATACCAAAAAAAAAAAAAAAAAAAACACACAAAGGTGAATGTCCATGTAATTAAGGTTCAATTTAGGGGTTCACTTGGCTCTTGAATCCATTGAACAAAGTGAATAAGGATAGTCATCTTATTTTGAATACTAGTAATTAAAAGCGATGCTTCGGATTCCAAAAAGTCTAAGTCTATTGGACCGGTGCATGCATCAAGATTCAAGACAATTCTGATGTTTACAAGATGATTATTTATAATTTCAAAATGAGAGCTTATCTAAATCCTTTCTATATAAACTCGGCCATCTCGTCCCATGTTGATCAATCTCAAACCAAATTTGAGTAAAAACACAAACTCTATATAACCGTATTTCAAATGGACGGAAAAGGTGGCAGTGGTGGTGGAGTCCAAGGTGGCAGTGGTGGTGTTGGCGTCCAAGGTGGTGGAGGAAGTGGAGCAAAAGGCAGTGGTGGAGCAGGGTCAGGAGGAATGATGAAGGCTCCTGGTGGTGATGGGTCGTACATATCAAGGGATGGGTTTGAGAGCAACCCTCAGGGCTACTTTTCTGGTCAGCATGCTGGTGAAAAGGCCAGTGGTGGTGGTCGTGGTGGTGGCGGCGTCCAAGGTGGTGGAGGAAGTGGAGCAAAAGGAAGCGGCGGCAGCGGTGGTGGTGCAGGGTCAGGAGGAATGATGAAGGCTCCTGGTGGTGATGGGTCATACATATCAAGGGATGGGTTTGAGAGCAACCCTCAGGGCTACTTTTCTGGTCTGCATGCTGGTGAAAAGGCCAATAAATAAAATGTTACTACCTAATTATATGGGATGTAATAAGTTTGGTTCATAATGAATTCTGGCTATATGTGTTTTATTTTTATTTTAAATTAATGAAAAAATATATATGAAATTATGTGGTATTTATAATTGCTTGGTCTTCTTCCTTATGTTTTCTGATCTGCTTGATTGGTATCCCAGCCTACACAGACCTCATTTTCATTTACACTTTGTTGTATAATTTAAAAAAATTGTAAAATGCCCTCTCCAAAAATTTTCCAATCAAAGTTCTTTCATATTTTATTTGTTTTTCTTTTAACTTTTCTGTGTTTTTCTGTGTTCTTCATTTGTTTTTGTTATTTATATAAACGATGGTAATAAGATTTTATTTTTATTTTTAAAAAAAACAAATATAATATTTCAAAAAAATTCAAACATTTTTTTATAAATAGTGTAACAAATTAAATACCGAACATGTTTTTATTTTTTCAAATAGATGGTTGATTTCGTTTCATCAGCCTATCTTGCTACATAAAAAAATTAATTACATTGATCAAACAAGTAGAAGTTGGTGGAGTATTTAGCTTTGTTTCTCGAAGCAACTTATAACCTTTCTGATCGGCAGTCGAAATCAATTATAAATCAACCATCTTCGCAATAGCACGAATCATTGTAAAATAGGCCTATTGGACGGGTAAGTCGAACCACTGGGACTGCACTAGTCTTAAGGCAACCTAAGTATCAAGAGTCATTTTAGAATGATAAGGTGTAATAAGGAGTTGTTGATTGGTTTGTCACTAAGCTAGTAATTGAAATGTGCATAAAACAAGAATGCTAGTAAATGAGAGTTAGAGATAACAAAAGGGGAAACTAGGGAAGTGAATCCACCTACGCCCTAAATACATGCCAAATCAAGACTAAATTGGGGATAAACACTATATAAGTAATGATCAAGAATTATGTAGCAACACATAGTTGCTTCATAACCAATAAAAAGTTCATGAAATTAAAACAAGAATGGTCTATCAAAAGATAACACATTTGAACTACCTAGACTAGGGTGTAGTATCAAATACATTAACTTAAGCAAAAGACCATCAAGCATTCAATCACAAGATGAAGCACATGAAGGTAAGAATCAAGCATAGTCCATCACAGGAGGTACCTAAGCAAAGGAATATCAAGTTTGAAAATCAACATGCCTTGAAAACCATTCATAGTTAATATCTTCATTGTCACTATGAAAATAAAAGCAATAAGACTAATGTAAGAATCATCAAGACACGCTAAATAACTCACATCAATCATTTAAACATGAATATTCATTACAAGAAGTAATAAGCTCTTAAACTATGAAAAGACCAAAGTTTATACATTATAATCCCCAAAATAGAACCTAATCTAGAACATGAACAAAAGGGGAGGCTTTATCACCTCCCTAGATGGAGGTTTAGCTCTCCATTGATACAAAAATAGAAGAAGAAGAAGAATAATCCATCTCCATTTTCGAGCTCCTACTGTAGCACTCAAGAACACCACCCTCTTTGCTCTCTTCTCTCTCCTCTAATCTTCTCCAAAAATGAAGGATAGCATATGTGTGGCCTTTGGTTGCCTAATATCCTTCAACAAAGTCCTCTCTCTCCCCTCCAAAAACATTGCCAACCACTTCATAAAAGAGGGAGATTCAAATTGAGGAAACCAATGAAGCAAGTGGCTGAAAATGAGGAGTCCCGAGCTGCATTCTGCCTGAATCTCGAGTGCTCGAAATAGGGCCTCGAGCACTCGAAAATGGAGCAGATTGCTCCATGCTTGCTTTGCTTTGCCCGGACCTAGTTTGGTAAAATGGCTATAACTTTGTGCTCCAAACTCCGAATGACAAACCGTTTGAAGATTTAGAAATCTGATTTAGATCTCTAAAAACTTTATGTTTTGGTGGAGATCCAATTCTCAAGTCTGGTTGGTCGAAATTGAAGAGCAAGGCAGAAACTCATTGCTGCCAGGCAGTTCTTAGCACCTTTAATAAGAAGATCATAACTCTCTGCTCCGAACTCCGAATGACAAACCGCTTGAAGATTTGGAAAGATAATTCAGAGCTCTAAATCTTTCATGTTATGAGGGAAATCCAGTTCTCGAGTTTGGTAGGTCAAAAATGGTGAGCAAATCCGGATTTCACTGCTGCCAGAATTCAGCATTGCACCTTCCCATGTTCAAAACTCCACAAAGCATCATTTTTGCTTCCTTTTTGCAATTTAACCTAAAAATGTGCAAAAACATACAATTGGAGATAATCTATATAAATAACACAAATAAAGAACTTAACTAATGCAATTTAGGGCGCTTGAATATACAATATTCGGCGCTTATCACACCCCCAAACTTACATTTTGCTAGTCCCTTAGCAAAACCAAAATGCAAAACTCAATGGAATGACAAACATGGGACTGCTACTACAAAAATATCTACCATGGTAAAATAAAATAGATACATAGCTCAAATACAACTTGAAACAGACAAAAACTGGAGATGGGGTCATTGGGAAAACTACCTTGCATATATGAAGCATTGATACAAAAATTGGCTAAATACATTTCCACATACATGCATCAACATCAAAGTCTATATAAATAACTCAATTATCATCTCTTGAATGGAAATCAACTCTAGCTTCAGTGAAAGTCAATTGGATTCTCAACATGCGACTTTTACTTTCTTTTCCAATTCCAAAGCACAAGTTTTCAAATCATTGAATTCCCCTTTAAATGAGGTCCCTAAGGCATGGTTTTATTTACAAGACAACTTTTGTTGCTTGTTGACAATTTATTGTAACTCATAAGCGAAACATAGAATGGTTGTGCAATGTTGAAGTCCTTTACGCTTTCTAACCAACCCCTGTAGCAAGCGTTAGGCCAACAACTCCCAAACCAGATGACTTTAGGGTGTTAAGTGTAGAGACACTCCATAGGGCTTAATAGCTCAAGTTGGAAAGGCTACGAACTCTAACGAACCATGTTTATTACCAGTTTATTTTTTGAATGACCGTGCAATGTTTAAGTCCCTTAAGCTTTCTAACCAACCCCTGTAGCAAGCGTTAGGCCAACAACTCCCAAACCAGATGGCTTTAGGGTGTTAAGTGTAGAGACACTCCAAAGGGCTTAATAGCTCGAGTTGGAAAGGCTACGAACGTCAACTGGTCATTATTTTCTTTCTTTCTCAGTTGTTTTTTTTTTTTTTTTTTCAAGACAACTTAAATCATGCCAAAGATATTCATTTATCAGGTTCATCAAATCAGATTAACTAGGCGAAGGTCAAGGTCAATCAAGTTGCATGCCTCACAGTTAAGTTTCCAATGTGCATCTGTGCATTGTGAGGCTTAAAAGAGTGTCAAATCCAGCGAGAATTTAATTGAGACATTTATACAGACTAATTTGAGTCTACATGATCATTTCAACTCAAATTTTCTTTATTTTCAAAAATATCAGCTACTTCTATACACAAAGTTTTAAATATATGCTTTCATCTCCAACAAGTTTCAAATTCCATTATCATTGCTTAGCAAAAATTATGAACCCAAAAATATGCCAAAAATGCAATATTGCACCCCCAAACTTGAAATACACAGTGTCCTCAATGTGGGATATGGAGTAAAATTGATGACAAAAATGACAGAGAATAAAAAGGAACAAAAATACCCAGGGGGAGGAAACGACATGGTGAAACAAAACCCCCAAACTTGAAATGAACTGCGCCACCTGGATAGTATGACGAAGAACAAAAAGAAACAACCACAAAGGGCATTAATAGCACAAGCACATTTACAGAAAAAAATAATGAACAAAAAGTTAACAGAAAAGAGAGAATTTGCATTCAAAAGGAAGTTTACATGATTACAAAAGAGCTGTACATAGATCATGTCTACTAGAGCAACCTATACATAGCAAATTCTGAAAGTTCAAAAGTAAAACAAAAGATACAAGAGAAATAGTTACATATGAACAAAAAGATAAGGTCCAACACTCGCAACAAGCTACGGGCCAAAGGGTAAATGGGCGAGGATGGAATGGAGGAAAGATTGAGTCTTATGCCGTTCGGCGGAAGCCAAACGACGTTCCTCAGCTGCGACACGGTGGTCTTCAGCAGCAAGACGACGATCTTCTTCGGCACGTGAAGAAGTCTCACACATAGTCCGAGTGTACGCGGACAAAGAATTCTCAAAACGATCCATTCGCTCATGAATGCCAGCAATGCTAGCCCGGATGAAAGCCTGGTCCTGCTGAGAGTCGACCGGAGGCTCTACCCTTGCAGCGGCTGCTGCCGTGGAAGCATCCTCAGAAAGAGGAGGAGGTGGAGCTTGGATGAACAGGGGGGCAGCAGGCTGAGGGGTAGTAGAATGGCTAAGAACATTGATCCACCGGCGCTTGGTAAAATTTTTAATCTTTTCGCCTTTTGGTTCATGGGGAGGAACAATGAAGCCTTTGTGCTTTAGGAGCCGAGTGATGAAAAACGGCAAAGGCAATTTCCGATTTTCAACTCGCGGAGCCCGTGCATTATGAGTGTCATGCCAAAACTTCATAAATGTGGTCCAAATGAGCTCCGGGATGGAGAACCATTGGCCTTGGTCCATGGCATATAAGGCTTGCAAAATGAGGCCCCTACGCTCGGTGCTATGCGCCAAAGGGTAGACATTGTGCTTGAAAACAGTGTCAATGAACCAAAGGCGTTCCTGAAGATTGGTTTTACTGATAAAAGACCGGGGCCTATTAGGATCGTCGACATTGCCGATGGCGGCCACTACCTGCTCGACAGTCATATCATCGACTTGCTCATACAACGTATGGCCAGTAGGGTCCAAAAGGTCAGCGGGGCACTCAATGGGGCAACCAGAAACCTGAATGATGTCAGTCATAGTGAAAGCATAGGTGGTGCCATCAATGGATGTAGTAAGAGAAATGGGTGGCTCTTCAGGGCATTGGAGATTCTGGTAGAAGAGGCGCACTACACGGGGGTAGGCAACCTTGGCTAGGGGCGCA